CCTCACCTTTTCTTTAAAAGACCGCTGAAGTCCAGTTCTCCTGCATCGTCAGGCCTCCTTTCACCTCTGCAGGGAGAGGGATCGTTAGGTTGTGTACAGTGCTTTAAGGTTTGCAAAGTGCTGTACGAATCATGAACTCATTTTATTCTCGACAGCCCTGAGAGGGAAGGGGTTGCTGTTATGATACCCATTTTGCAGATGAGGACATGGAGGTCAAATGACTCGTCCAGGGCCACACAGCTAAATCTGAAGCTGAGACCTGAATTCTGGGTTTGGGGACTCCAGGTCCAAGGCTTCGTGCATCCCACACCCCTAGATGCCTCAGCTCTGGGATTCCCCCCCACCTTTGGACTTCTTCCCCTCCGCCAGGCCCCAGCCCTCTCAGTCGTAGCCATTGACACCGCCGGGGTAGAGTGAGGGGTGGTGTGAGGAGACTGGGGGCCAGTGGCACCTGCCACCATTGGCTTTCTAGGGGGAGAGCAGGGCTTGGGGGGGGGGGGTCACTCACGAGCGCTTGAAGCTTTCCAGGATATTACCGCTGTCCTGGCTGGGGGCTGAGGGGGTGGGGATAGGAAGGAGTGGGGGGGTCCTTCTTTGTCCCCTCCCTCAGGGTCCTTGCTGCCCCTGGACTCCCCCCCCTTCTGTCCCCCTTCCCCCACCCCCTCCAGGGACGCTCTTCTCCCACTGGGGCCCCAGCACGGCAGCCCTTCATAAAGCATGATGTCACACCTTCCACATCGATGCTGAAACTGCAGCTGTCACAGGCATCCTGGGCCTTCACCTCGCACCGGTATTCACCCCGGTCGCCCAGGACCACCTTCCCGATCTGCAGCTCGGCCGTGTACACCTGAGTAGGCCGGAGAGAGAGCCTCAGGCTCAGTGGCCCAGGCAGGGCCAGAGGGGCCTTGGCCTTCTGTCATCCCCTCGGGAGCCACTGGCTGCCTCCCCTGCCTGGCCCAGGAGGAGGCCACTCACTCCTCTCTCAGACTCGTGCAGTCTGCCCTAGGCTTCTGCTGCGGAAATCCCAGCCCCCAGTGCAGTATATTAAGCCCAGGACAAACCCCCAGATCAGCCCCTGCCCTCAGGGGGTTCCGTTGCCCTGGGGGGAATGTGTACATAGGGGTAGGGACCAGAACTCTGATTCTGTTGGTACTGGGAGTGAGGGAACTCCCGCAATGGAAATGAGCGCCTTCTCTGCAAGAGAGTGGCCTAGAGCACTGGCCCAAGGTCACACAGCCAAGTGTGTCTCCAAAGTGGTCCCAGGCCCCCCTACCCCCCTACCGCCGCCGCCCCCGGCCCCCCCCCCCCCCCCCCCTCCGCAGCCCCCCCTCCCCGCTGCAGCCCCAGGCCCCCCCCACCTCTCCCACTTCTGCTGCCCCCCTCCCCGCTGCAGCCCCAGGCCCCCCCACCCCTCCCACTTCCGCTGCCCCCCTCCCCGCTGCAGCCCCAGGCCCCCCACCTCTCCACCCCTCCCACTTCTGCTGCCCCCCTCCCCCCCAGGCCTGGCCTGCTGGCCTCATGGCCCTCACGTTGCTCTGCTGGTCATGGCTCTCCTTGAAGACGAATCGGGTCCCACTCTTGCTGCCCAGTTCTAACCACTTCCCTTTGAACCATTTGATGACGGGCTTTCCAGGGAGCTCCTTCCCATTCACCTTGGCCGTGATCACCACGTCCTTCCCTGGGGACCAGGGGACAGGAAGTCTAAGGCCTTCACACCCTGCCAGGTCCCTGGAACCCAGGGACCCGGGGCTCATCCTGGCTTGGGGGTCCGGGCACCTGCGACACCCAGGTATCTAAGCTGCATCTTCCTCTAAGGCTCCGGGCGTCTGGCTCCCAGGCAGCTCACCCTGGGTGGTGAGCCCCTGTACCTCTCTGGGGCACCCAGGCATCCCGCCCCTCAGCCTCTCTGCAACCCAAGCATGGGGGTACCTCGACATCCCATTCCCCAGCCTCTCCCCGGAGCTTAGCCTCAGCCTTCCTTACCTGCCTCTATAGACACAGTGTCGGGTTTCTTCAGGAAGATCCCAGCGGGCTCCTCGGCAGCGGGTGACTGGTCCTCAGGGGGCGGCTCTAGGTTATAAACGGGCCTTTCACTCTGTGAGTCAGGGGCTTAGCCGGAGAGCCGCAAGGTTACTTTATTTGAGGTGATTCCTGAGACCTGAGCACTGAGGGCGCACTTCCCCCCACCCCCCTCCCCACAGCCAGGTAGTCTGTTAATTACGTTAAGTGGCTCCTCTGTGCGGTGCAAGCCACTGTGCTAAGGGCAGGAGATGCAAAGAGGCAAAAGACAGTCCCTGCCCTCAAGGAGTTTACAAGCCCTGACCCACTCTGTGCCTCAGTTTCCTCCTCTGCAGAGTGAGAGGGTGGACAAATCCCTGACCCTCGCTGAGCCTGATTTTTCCCTTCTGTGGAATAATGTCCCTAACCTCTGAACCTCAGTTTCCCCGCCTGCAAAATGAGGAGGGTTGGGTTGAAACCATAGAATGTTGGGGTGGAAGGGAGGATAAGGAACCAATTTCCCTCCGATTCTACACCTGGGGAACCTGAGGGCCAGAGGGCACTGGGGTCATGCTCACGGTCACAAAGCCAGGCAGAGTCAGCGTTTCTCCCTAGTTCTCTGACCCCCCAGTTTCCAACATTTATTAGGCGCTTATGAATCAATCAGTCAGCAAGCACTAGCTCGGTGCCTGACACATAGAAGGCTCTTAATAAAGGTTTATTGATTGATACAAAGACAAAAAGTGACCCAGGGAAGACCACAGGTTTACATACAGGCTGGTATGAATGCACACGAGGTGGATACAAGGTAGCTCTGAGGCTACAAACACAACAATGGCTCCACCCAGCCTCCAGGAAGCTTTCCTCTGCTTGGCTGGGGGGAGGGGAATGGGCATTACGACTCGGGACCTCAGTGGCCATCGACCCCCCATACAGAAGACCCTCCAGTTACGGGGAGCTCACTACCTCTCGTGGCAGCCCAGCTCCTTCTTGGTTATCTCTAATTGTTAAGAAGTTATTCCTGACTTCAAGCCTGAATTGGCCTCTTGGCAACTTCCCCCCATGGCTCCTTCTGCCTTAATCATCGGATCATGGAGTACTTTGCTAATAATTACCGCAGAACTTAGTACATAATTAGGCATCAAATCAGTGGCAGACAGCTAGAGATGAAGGAGGGATGGAGGGGGAGGGGGACTGCAGGACTGGAGGAGGAGGGCTGGGAGAGGCTGGAAAGCAGGAGAACTAGGGGAGGGGAGAAAGACCGGGGGAGGGGAAATGGACGGAAGAGGAACAGGGAGACTGGAAGGAGAGGAGGACAGGGGAGAGGGACTGGGGGAAGGGGACTGGGAGAGAAGAAGGAGAAAGGGACCAAGAGGGAGAACAGAAGGGAGAGGGGACTGGGAGGAAAGGAAGGGGGTGGGGATTAGGAGGCTTCCTGGAGCAGAAGGTGGGAAGGCAGGACAGTGCTTGGTATCCAGTGAGCCTCTCTTGGACAGAGCCCCAGGGCTCACTGGCTACCCCGAGGCCTCTCTTATTCCATCCTGGGACTCAGGAGCTTAGTGGAGTGCTTGGCAGGGGCACGGACTTCCCAATCAAAGTGGGCAACCAGTAGCCTTTTGATACCAGGACTGGTTTTTCACCTCCCTAACCAGTCACCTCCCTCCACATCCACCCAGGTCTGCCTGATCTCTTCAGAATTTGGTGCAGGCAAGGGGGAGGCAGGGAGGCCAGAGATCAAAGATCTGGGGGCTGGGGACAAGAGGGGTCATACATACAGGAAATGGGGTATAGAAATCTATCCTGTCCTACAGGAAAATAGAAGGGGAAGGGGATAAGACAAGGGGGGAGGAATAGAAGGGAGAGCAGATTAGAGGAAGGGGTATTCAGAATGCATGCCATCATGGGGTGGGGAGAGGGGAGAGATGGGGAGAAATTTGGAATTCAAAATCTTATGGAAATGAATGTTGAAAACTAAAAATAAATAAATTAATTTTAAAAAAGAGGGATCATGGAATCAGAATGTCCTCGATTTAGAGCCAGAAGAGACCTCAGTAGTCACAAAGTCCAACCCCCGGGTTTTACAGATGAGGAAAGTGAGACCCAGACAGATACTCAGAGCCACAGCTAGCAAATATCTGGGGCAGGCTTAGGATCCGGGTTTTCTATAGGTTAGATGGAGTCTGGAACAATTTGGTTTCCAAAGGTCTGGGTGCCTCAGGAGCAGGAAGAAAAACTGGGAACGGGGGTCGCCCAAAGTTTGGGGGACTCAGAGAAAGGAGGCTCAGAGGTTTGAAAGGCTCAGAGACAAGAAAGGGAGCCAGAGGGAGTGTGGGGAAAGGAAGGGGAGGACTCGGGGAACAGACACTCGACGGTGTAGATGGCTTTGGAATCAATAGGTTAGAGAGCAGACACAGTTCCTGGGCCATGGTCTCGGTGCTCCAGATGAGAGGGGAGCCGTGTCTGCGGACATCTCGGGGCCAGAGTGGGGGCTGGGGCTGGGCCAGGGGTGTCTCACCACTGGGTGGGGCAGGCGCAGCCTCCTTCTCAGGGCCAGGCTTTTGGGGGGCATCCTTAGCTTTGGCAGCGGGCTTCTTGGTGGCTGTGAGGGGAAAGAGGCGGAGGAGGGTCACAGAATCAGGGAGCCCAGGAGTCCTGATCCCCTGGCTCTCGTCCACTCCAGGACCCAGGGGTGCTGAGCACAGCCCCTGCCCTTCAGATGTCCCTCAGCACCCAATCCTGGCTGGCCCTCCAGACACCTGCTTTCCCTCACTTCCTCCCCCTGGACAGAATCTTACCATTCTCCAGGGACAGAGGGCAGGGCCAGCAGGACCAGGGAGGATCCCCCCAAATAAAGCCTCTGCTCCTTCCTCACCCCCGCCCAAGTCCAGGCCAACTGGTCTTGACCTTTTCCAGATGGGCTGGCCTGGAGTATAATTAGCTTGATCCGGGGTCAGGTAACTGGACACCCATGTGCTGAGCTCAGCACCGAGCACCCAGTACTCAGGACCCTCCCAGCACCCTGCTGGGAACCCCTTCTCCCACTGAGTGCAAGGGGGCTCCCTCTCCCCAACGAGGGGGCCCTTTCCTACATACAAGGGGCTCCCTCCTCCTACCAGGGACAGGGGCTCTTTTCCCTACCTTCTTACACAAGGGGGCTCCCTCCCCCCATCCTGGGAAGGGGCCCTTCCCATGCCAAAGGTTCCCTCCTCATTCTAGCTGGAGGGGTCTCTTTCCTTTGGATCCTGCTTTTTCCAGTCCTTAGCCTCCAAGCTCCCGTAATCCCCCACTCCTTTTCTCTGCCCCGATCATCTACCTCTCCCAGGCCAGGGTTGTCCTCCCCATGCCCCCTCCAACCTTGGGACTCCTGGCACTGACAGGGAGCACACCCCTTCCAGCCTCCCTTTGAGGAAGAGGTTAGGGATGAGGGGTTGCGGGTCCCCACCTGGTTTGGGCTCCGGCATCTTAACCTGTGGCCAGTCGGGAACCTTCCTGAGACAACAGGGCCTAGGATGGGTGGCAGGGTGGGGTTTTAAGGAGGCTGGAGGCTCCCCGGAGACACCTGACTCAGCTCCCACTCCCCACCCCCTTCGAATTCCCCAGGAGTTCTCTAAAGGGCGAGAAATAACTGCTGGGGGTGGGGGGGAAGATACATGCCTGGCTCCTGGTGGAGGCCAGGGCAACAAGATTCTGGTCTCTAAGGCAAGGGGAGGGGGAGAGGGGAGGGTTGTGAGGGTCAGGACACCTGGGTCTCAGTGGGAGGCCACAGGCAGGGCTGGGGAAGGGGTCACCTGGGTCCCTACTGTTTGGGAGCTGTGGAAGCAGGTTATCTTGGTATAGGGGGTAGGGCTGGGATATCAGGACAACTGAGTCCTTGAGGGAGACAGGATTTAGGGTATCAGACCTCTGGCACTCTTTTGGGATAGGGTAGGGCTGGGGGCCCAGCCACCTAGATTTCTGCAAGTCAGGCATCTTCAGAGAAATTGGACCCCCTGGGGAAACCAAAGCCAAGTCTCCAGGGTCAGTAGGGAGGGCCAGGTTTCTTGAAGTGGGCACCAAGCCCCAGGTTAGCGTTGAGGGCTGGCTTGCGCCAGGGCAGCCAGCATCCCAGGGACCCCTCTTTGCCTAGTGGTGACCTGCTTTCTCCAGCTGGGGTGTGGAGAACTTCCTTTCACCGCTGGGGGCCCCACCCCAGAGAAATTTTATCCCAGCCCAGCTGCTGTGGCCAGGCCACCTGGCCTAGGCTGCCCCACCCCCAGGGTCCCCAAGTTTCTACGGTCCTCGCCCCCAGCTCCCCAAGGAAGGAGGGAGCCCTGGAGGAAGTGGGAAAGAGAAGAGCAGGGCCCGGAAGGGCTGGGGAGCCCAGGATGCATGGGTCCCTTCCTGAGCTGGAGCCTGGGGTAGAGGGTTTGAGGAGCCAGCACTAACTCTGGCCCTGCGTCACCAAAACCAAAGCAAACCCCCTTGTAACCTTAACAGGGCTGGCTCGGTGTTTGGCCAATCCAAAATGGAATATCTGGTGACATCATCAGTCTCTGGTCAGACTCTCTCCTGCGGGGACAGGGGAGCAAGGTATTGTGAGACCAGCGGGAGTGCAGGATGGGAGGGGAGATAAAGTCATGGCAGGGAGTCTGAGAAGCCTAGGAAGAACGGAAGACACTGATCCAGACCCCCAGGGAGCCTCTGAGAGAACCGGAGAGAAAGAGACTGCTGGGGGAGGGATAGAGGGAGGGAGGAGGGGGGAGAGAGAAGGGGGGGGGGGAGGGGGGGGGGGGGGGGGGGGGGGGGGGGGGGGGGGAGGGGGGGGGGGGGGGGGGGGGGGGAGGGGCAGAGCCAGCCAGACCAGGGTCAGACTGCTAGGGAACCACCAGAGAAAGAGAGAAACAGAGACAGAGATGATGGAAGGGACAGAGTAATGGGGAGGAGGAAAGAGAAGCATCAATAGGTGAGAGCAGAAGCATTGGGGAAGCTGGATGGTGCAGCTGACAGAGTGCTGGGTCTGTTGTCAGAGAGACCTGAGTTCAAATCTAGCCTCAGACACTTATTAGCTGTGTGACTCTGGACAAGTCACTTAGCCCAGTTTGCCTCGGTTTCCTCACCTGTAAAATGAGTTAGAGAAGGAAATGGCAAACCACTCCAGTATCTTTGCCAAGAAAACCCCAAATGAGGTCATGAAGAGTCAGATGCGGCTGAACAAGAATGCAAAACAAGTGTGTGTGGGAGTATCCTGAGGTGCACGGCCCCAACTGAGCACTGGGGGTGGGCACGGGAGAAGCTCAGAAATTCCATGGCATTTGCTTGGGTTGATCCAGTGCCGGCAATTTCCAAAAGGAATACCCCATGTTGGCGTGTGTTCATCTTTTATTTGCAGAATTCATTACTTTGTAAGGTGAGACATGACCCCGAGGTCCCTGGCAGGAAGGGGCAGGGAGCTTGGTTTCTTGGTGGGGAGGGATGGACTCCGCTTTGGAGGTCAGGGGCCCAGCCTAAGTCTTCCTGGCTTCCCTGCAATGGACTCTGAGGCCAGGCTCTCCTAAGCCCAAAGGATTCTGGGCCGCTCTGTACACCCCTGACCCATCCCCTCTCCAGGTGACAGGTAGGGAGGAGACCTAGGGGGCACTGAGGGAGAATGGCCCCGGAACCAGCTGAGGAGGATTGTGGGGAACCACCCCACCTCAGAGAAAGCTCCAGTGGGCAGGGGTCCCAGGGCCTCAGACTTGGAAGGACTCCCAGAGGCCCAGATGACAATAAACCCCATCGTCCAGGGAAAGGGCACTCAGTACTTCAGAGGGCGCCCGTACCACTTTGGGAATCCCCAGAACCCTTCAGATCCCAGTATACAACCTCCAAGCCAGACAGAACCTTGGGGGTCATCTGGTCAAACTCCCTCAGGGAGAAACTGAGGCCCAGAAGGGACAACACACTCAAGATTGCACAATGAGTCAGGGCCAGGTCTGAAATGTCACCGAAGGAAAAAGCCAGAGAGACCTTAGGGATCATTCCGGGGGAAACCCCCTCTTTTTACACATGGGGGAACTGAGGCACGGCCAAGGTCACACAGCTTAGAGAGAGACAAGGGCCAGAGTAGGTTACCCAGGCAGCCATTGAGGGGGCCAGGATCTGAAACCAGGTTTTGACCAGAGCCTGGGACCCTTGGTCCCACATTTCTCTCCCTCTTTTCCAGTGCTATATGGTTCCCCCCAGTCCAAAATCTATGTCTGAGCCCTCGGCAGACCCTTGGCTGTGCTGATGCCTTTGATTTCCCTAGGCCTGGTGACTTAGTCCGGAGCTCTGGTGGAGAGGGGGTCACCCAGGCAGGGCAGCACGGTCCGAGCCGGCATCCGCTCAGGCGGGAAGGGGCCTGGACCACTGGGCCCTTAGCAGTTGGAGGCTGCAGTCCCTTGTGTTTACAGCTAAGGACTCGAGGCCCATCTCCCCCAAAGTCACAGGGCATGTCGGGGCTGGATCCTCCTGACCCCCGGCCCGGGTCAGGAAAAGGGGCAAGGGCTACAGACTGCCAGGGGACCCATTCCCAAGAAGCTAGCGCTGGAATCATCCTAGGCCAGGGATGCCTGAGGCCCTAAGACAGCCCCAGACAGGGTGTGCCTTCTGATGGGGAGCCTTCACAGGCTCTGAACTCGGAGGGACAGGGCACCCCAAGGCACTCTTGGCGACAGCAGGGGGATCTCTGAGACGCCTCGGGGCCCGAGACAGCCGTCCCCCCGCGGCCGGGGCCCTCACGCCCGCCGGGGGGTCAGCAGGGTGCTGTCAAACTGGTACGTGAGTTTCCTCTTGACCTTGCGGATCTCTCCGGTCTTGGCGTAGTTGCGGAGGGCCCGGGCCAGTTTCTGGTAGGTCATCCGCTTGCGGTTGCCTTTCTGCTGGCCCCAGCGCCTGGCCAGGGCCTCCTTGTGCTTGGACGAGAACTGGAAGACGCCGGCCCCGGGTTCTACCCACCACACGCACTCCCGCATGTCCCCGCGGGTCAGCAGCCCCAGCAAGAACTGGTAGAGACGGAGCTTCTTCCGGGCACCTGGAGGGGCAGAGCAGGCCGGCGTCAGGCCGGGAGGCCCCCTTGGGCATCCTCTGGGGACACCCACCCTCCAGAAATCAGTCGGTCAGCCAATAAGCGAAGGCGCGATTAGTGGCTGCTGCCGGGGACAGGAAGCACCGGGGACTTCCTCCAATCAGCTTTTGCAGACAGATTCTGTACGTGGAAACCTTGGAGCAAGACACGGGGCAGGGGTACTGAGACTTGGGGCAGCTTGGGGGAAAGCAGTGAGCTCCCCATCCACAGAGGTCTTCAAGGCTGGGTGACCACTGAGGGCCATATGCTGCAGCAGAGCGCATTCCTGGTCAGCCAGAGGAGGGGCCAGATGGCTTTGGAGCCCCCTTCCACTTCTGAGACTGCGATACCCACTTGGAGCAGGTGCTCCCTAGGGACAGCACTCTCCCATCGGACTCAGGGCTGTCTCCCCTTCCCAGACCAGGGGCTCCCCAGGCCAGGTGACTTTACTGGCCGCCGCCCCCCCATCATACCTGCATCGGCTCCTGTCCCTTCCCCTCCAGCTGCCGGGACCTCATCCGACTCACTGTCAGACACCTCCAGGGCTGGGCTATCCCCTGGGAACTCCTCGTCCTCAGATAAGCCAGGACTGGGGAACTGGGTAAATGAGGCCAGGGGCTGGAGCAGGGAGGGGGTGGTCAGAGCTTGTGGTCCACGGCTCACCTTCCCTCCTCTCTAAGCTGGACTCCCCGAACCTACCCGGGTCTCTCAGTCTTCTAACCCTCTATCACAGAGCTGGAAGGGACCTTGGAAATCACCTGATCCAACCTTCTCCCCATCATTTTGTGACTCAGACAAAGAAGTGATTTGTCCGGCCCCAGGTTTGCCAGCCCCAGGTCTGCCAGCTCCAGACTTGCCTTTGTCTCACAACATGCTGACCTCAGCCCTACACGCTTCCTCCCCAGCTCATTCCCCCTCACCTGGCCTCCAAAATCCTCCTCCGGGTAGGTGCTGAGCCCTGGGCCCGGGGCCGGCTCCAGCTGCCCAATGGGGCCATAGCTGACAGGCAGGTAGGAGAGTTGAAGACCCTGGAGTTGGCCAAGTGAGGCTGCCGAGGGGTCGAAGGGCTCATAGGCAGTGGCCAGGCTGGGCGGTGGCTCTGTCCAGCCCCACAGGGAGTCTGGGGAAGGCAGGAGAGGGCGCCCTGAGACTCAGCCCCCTGGCCCAAAGGGGCAATTGTGGGAAGGAAAGGAAGGTCATCTTTGGCCCGCGCATTTGCACGCATGGGGAAGGGAGCAGCTTAACAGGAGAGACCTGATGAGGATGGAACGGAGGGAGGAGGGCGGGGGAGGAAATGGGAATCCAGAGGCACGGAGCCTGGCAGGGGGACGGATGGGTGGGGAGAGGGGGACGGATGGCTGTAGGAAGAGGTGAGCAGAATAGGGGTACGGGGAGGGGACAAAGGGCATTCGGGTGGGGGCCGAGAATGGGAGAGAAAGCTGGAGGAGTTAAGACCCACTGAGAAGGTAAATGGCTAGTGCCCCCCGGGCAGTGGGAGGGCACAGAGAGGGGAAGCATGTACTTACCCACCATGCCTTCGGGGTCCACGTAGCCGGGGTGTTTGCTGCTGTCCAGATCGTAGAAGACTCCATCTGAGTACTGAGGAGAGGCACCAGGAGCGTGGTCGTGACGGGAACGTCCCACCGGCCAGAGAGTCAAAGGAGAGAGAAACGGGACAGTGACAGACAGAGAAACAGACAAAGTGGGGCGGAGACTGACTGAAGAAATAAATAGGTCGGTTGGGGAAACAGGAGAGTGGGGAAGACGGACGTGAAGAGAGAGAAGCGATGGGGTAGACAGGGAGAGACAGAAGAAAGGGGGAGACGAGAGGGACAGGTAACAGACGAGATCGATCAATCGATCAGTGGAAAGTGTGTGTGGAAGAAAGAGCCCTCCTTCTGGAAAAAGGATGCTGGGACACTGGGTAACGGCAAGGCAGAACTTACCTGGCAAGAAAAGTGCGAATCCTCCAACCTGGGGAGAGGAGAAAAAGATAGAATGGGGAGAGGTGGTGTCACCCCCTGCTCTGGGTGCCTGGGCCTGGCACTCACCCAGACCCTGGAGCCTCCAGGTCTGGTCCTGAGCCCCTCCCCTCCCCTGAGTGTCTGTGCCCCTGCACTGGGCTTTCTCCTTCCCCTGCATTCTGTACTGTCCCACGCTCCAGACTCTGGGTCCCCCACGCTCCCACCTTGTTCTTCTTCTGTCCTTTGCTTTGTCTTGGGCCTCTTCCTTGCCCTGCACCCCTCCCCCACCCCCCCGCCCCCCCCCCTCCCCGTGCCCCCCGCTGCCCCTCCCCCACATCCCTGTGCCCCCCACTCTCCATGCCCCCCCTGCGGCCCTCATTCTCCATGGTCTCCCTGCATCCCTCCCCCATGTCCCTGCACCCCTCACTCTCCATGGCCCCCCTGTGCCCCTCACGAATTTGTATCCTTTCATCTCACCTATCTCTTATTCTACATCCCTCCCTCTCCATCTGTCTCCTGTGTCCCTCAATGCCCCCGTGCCTCCCACTCCCTCCGTGCATCTCACTTTTTAAGTCTCTTGTTCTTCTCCAGGTGCCCCTGCCTGCCTGTGTCTCGTGCCCCTCCCTGACTCCCATCTCCCAATCCTCTCCAAATTCGAGCTCACCAAACAGAACTTCGTGGGCTCCCGGTTTATTTTTTTTTTTTGAGAGAGGACGAAGGAACTTTGGGCATGTGGGGTAGATAGAGGCTGACCCCAGGCTGTACATAGAGGGGTGTGAGTCAAAGTCCTGCCCTCCCCCACCCCCAAGGCCCAGTCAGGGACAGGGCTTAGAACAGGAAGGGGGCATGGGGAGGCCTGCACGGAAATATCCCTGGGGAGATTTGCATGGGCAGGCTGAGGTGGTGAGAGTGTTTGTGGAGTGGGGGGTGGGGGGGGTTAGTGAAAGTGGGAGAGAAAGTGGAGGGTTTTTGAGGGAACTGGCCCCAGCCATGGGACAGTGATGGGTCCAAACAGACCTAGAGGGGAGAGCCTGGGAAAGGGATGGAGACGGTGACTGGAAGCAAGAGACAGCGACCCGGGCAGGGATGAAAGCAGACAGATGGGGGAGAGGCGGAAGAGACGAGGGAGATGTGGAGGGATGACAGAGATGAAAGAAGCAGAGACGGGGAAAAGAGAGAGACAGGAGGGGGCAGAAGGAAGGCACAAGAGGGAGGACAGAGAGAGATGAAGAGAAGCAGAGACACATGGAGAGACAGCGGGGAGTAGAGACCTCGCCTATGCACTCGGAGCCCTGGGGGGTCCTCACTTACTGTGCAGCCTCCAGCGTGAGCATGGTGGGGCAGAGCTCTGGGGATGGCACAGGGTCTGGGCTGCGTCCTGGCATTGCCATCACCTTATAGCCAGGGAGGGGAGGGGCGGGGCCCAGTGACCTCATCGAAAATCCCCTCAGGGGGGGCCCTGGAGATGGGGGATTGCTCAACGAGTCATGTGACTGGGGATGGGAGGGGAGAGCAGGGCACCCGTACCACCAGGTCTCTAGGGTGGCAGGGTTCCTTGGTGCCTGAGGAGGGCCGGGGGCTGCAGAACACTTGGATTTAGAGAGGGGGGTTGGGGTAAAGCAGATACCTGGTTCCCTGGGGGAGGGGAGGTGCCCTAGTCCTGAGGGTTAAGACTGGATGCCTGGGTTCCAGATGTCCTAGGTGCCAGATACCTGGGGCTTCAAAGGGGGTGGGATTACTAGGTTGGATACCTGAATTTTGTCCCTGACTTGAGGGTGGGGAAAGCTGGGACTGGCTTGTGACCCCAAGAAAGGCGGTGTGCCACACATGCATTGACCAGCTGATCTTGGGGTCCTGGGCCCGGGACCCAACCTGCCACTTCCTCAGAAGGGGAAATACCTGAATCTCCAAGAAACGGACCTGAGGTCCTGTTAGGCACTGGAGACCCCAAGGGCAGGAGTCCTCAGAGGTGGCGTGACTTAGGAAATCGGGATATTAGGTACGGGAGGGGTGAAAATGGAGCATGAGAAGCAAAGGAAGGCTTGGAGATCTCATGGGCCAACCCCATTTCACAGACAAGCAACCTGAGGCCTTGCAAAAACCAAGGGCTGTCCCAAGGTAGTCATCATACACGGAGTCTCCCAAAGCTCAGGTGAAAGGGGGCTTTGGGCTCATAGGGTGTGAGAGGTGGCGAGAGTTGGGCTGGAGCTCTGAAAGCCCACCCAGCTCCAGGTCGGATTCTTTGACGCCCTCTAGCCCAGAGCTCAGCTTCACCTCACAGGGGACACGAGCCTTCTTGTGGTCTAGTCGGGTCTGACTCCTCATCACCCCATTGGGGTTTTCTTGGCAAAGACGCCGGGGCGATTTGTCATGTCTTTCTCCAGCTCATTTTACAGATGAGGAAACTGAGGCAAACGGGGTGAAGTGACTTGCCCAGGGTCACTCAGCTAGTCTGAGGTGGGATTTGAGCTGGGGAAGACGCATCTTCCTGACTCCAGGCCTGGCGCTATGTGTGTTGCGCCAGGCTCACCAAGCACTTCACTCAAAACCAGGCACAGGATGGGGAACATCATCCCCATTTCACAGATGGCAAATCGGGGCTCTTCCAAGGCCACCAAGCCTTGCCTCCCTCTGGCTGGTGAAGGAGTGGATGGGCATCGCTACCCTGGCTGGGCCAATGGCGTCTGCTTCCGGCCTCCGCAGGCTGATTCTCTGCCCAGGGCTTGAGGGATCCTGGCACCCCAATCTCCCACAGCTACTTAGGCCGGGCCTTCGAGTTACGCAACTTGTGTGCTTCAGTTTCCCAGTCTGTAAAATAGGGACAAACCCACCTCCTGGGGCTGTCGGGAGGATCAGATGAGATGCTCATAAAGGCGCCCTCTGAACATCGTCACTGTCTCGTTGGACGAGAAGCACGTTGGCCCAGCGGAGCGAACGTGCCGGGTGTGGAGCCGGAGAACCCGGGCTTGGTCACTCACTGCCCCTTCACCCCCAGAACCCCTTCTAGCTGTCAGCCCTGAGGCCGAGGAAGCCGCTGCGGCCCGGCCCCTCCAGGGATTCCGACTCTCCCGGTGTGGGAGGGTCGGGCGCTAAATCTGGCCACCCCAAGAACTCCACCAGACAGAAGCCGAGGGCCTCAGCCCGGTCGTGACAACGGCGGAGATGAGCGGGGCTCGACTCCAGGTCCCCTCCTCTGCGGATTGGGGTTCACAGCACTCCCACAGGCCGCCCTGAAGAGCCCCTACCAACACCCCTAGCGGAGGGGAGAGGGTGGGGCCGGGGCTCCCCTGCCCCCTAAGATGAGACAGCAGGCGCTGTGAGTGCCATCTACCAGCCCCTCGGCACAACGCCCCAGCCCCCCATCCTGTTTATGTCTGTAGAACACACCTCACAGGGGCTCGTCAGCCTCTGCTTGGAGCCCTCTATCGACAGGGAGCTCACTACCTCCAGAGACAGCCCACTTCACATGTGGACTAAAATCCCTGCCATCCCGCCTACACCCGCCTCCCCTGGGGGGCGAGAGGGGGTGCGGTGGCCAGCAGGATTCCTCCTTCTACCCTCCCAAAGAACAAGACCAGGGGAACCCAAAGCCCCACAGCTTTATTGATGCCAACGTCCACAGCCGCGTCCTCTGTCACCAGGTGGCCGGGCCCGGGGGCCCGAATCGAGCCAGGAGCTGCTCCTGGTCGTCCAGATCCTTCTGTACCTTCTTCCGCATGTAGAAGATGGGACAATCTCGGCTGCACAGGGGAGCAGGAGGAGGTGCCGTTAGCCCAGGGGCCCGGCCGCCCTGACCCCATCGGGCCCTCAGCACCTGGCCTCCCTGCCCCTGCTCTCTGGGGGACCCAGCTGTCCAGGCCCCCAGCCACTATTCCCACGGGGGACTGGGGCATCCTTGGCAGCTGCCCCCCTCCCTCCTCGTGGGGGTCCACTCTCCACCCCACTGAACGTCCAGATGTCCCCACGCCCAAGCCCGGCTCGAGCCCTTTCTGAGGGCAGCCGGGAGGGGCCTGGCCGGTGAGCCCCTCATCTCGGGCCACGCCTCCCAGCAGCGGCCCTCCACCACCCAGGCTGCCCCCAGGCCGCAGACCCCGGCAGCTGGTCTCTTCTGCCCAGCCCCAGAAGGGAGCACTCGGGGGTCCACCCCCCTTTCCAAGCGGCCGGCGACGGGCCCGAGATTGTGGATGCTGCAGGCTGGGGGGTGGGTAACGGTCCCCAGGCTTCCTCCTCACCTGTTCCCAGGACTTTGGCCTCTCTCTAGCCTCTAGCCCCCACCCTGCCTGGCCGTCTCCACCCGGGAGCCAGGTTGTTTGTTTGGCGGGGCCTGGCGGGTGGCGATAAGGCCAGGGTGGGGAGGGAGGAGGTGGCCTGGCGTATATCACCTGTCCCGGTCCTCGTCCTGGCCCTGGCGTGGGAACCTGGCTCGCCCGGCCTTTCCCTAGGGAAAGCCCAGCCCCACCTAGCCAGGATGAGGGAGGGGGACAGAAGGAGATGGGGGGAGGAGGATGGAGACGGACAGTCTGGGGGGAGGCGGAACAGAGGAGCAGAGACCATCACGGGGGTCAGGGAGGCCTATCCTAAGAAATTCCATAGGCCCATGCGATTCAGGAAACTGAGGCACAAAAGTGAAGAGCCAAGTTCCACACCCAATGGTCCTCACTCTAGGCTGGCTCCCCAGGGGTCTGGGGCAGGGAAAAGGAGGCTCTGTGGGGCAGGGCAGGGTACGGCAGCCCCCCGTACCTGGTACAGAGCACGTCCTCATGCAGACTGCCCTGGCAGCGCTGGCATTGCGTCCAGAGGCGGGAGAACCGCTCCTCAAGGGCGCCCAGGTGCGCCACCTGAGGACAGAAGGCAGCCGTTTGGCCCACGAAGGCCTGGGGGGCCGGTCCCTGCCCTGTCCCTGCTTGGTGGTCCCTCCCACCCCCTCACCTCTTTCTGGTACAGCTCAGACTCCCGGGGAAGGCAGAATTTGCACACAGCTCCTAGAGAGGCAGGGCCCAATCAGGGTTACCACAGGGGAGAGAAAGAGAGGTGGGGCTGTCAGACACTGACCCAGAGGTGGACACCACCCGATCCAGGCCAGCCTCTGAAAGTCCCCAGAGGGTAGAGAACAAGGGAGTGTGTGTATGTGGGAAAAACTCCCCTGGGGAAATCCCGGGCGGGGGCCTTGCTCTCCCCCCACTCCCTGCCCTCAGCCCCTGCACCCCGCCCAGCCTGGACACACAAGAAGGTGAGCCTGCTGGCTCCCTGGCCGCCCCCTGGGGAGCGGGAAGCCCAGAGGCCCAGGGGCCGGAGTCCTCACCATGGTGGCTGAGGACAGCCCGACAACCAATGCAGCTGCTCCTGCGTGTGGCGAAGGCGAGAAGCCCCCCGACCTTGGCCGTCAGCACCGTCTTACAGCGAGTGTGCTCACCGCCTGGTGGGGGGCAGAGGATCCAGTGTGACCCCCCAGATCTCGGCCCAGGCCCGAGGTGGCGGCAGGGCTGGGGCCAGGCCTCCCCTGCCTCAACGTCTCCTACCCCCACCATTCAGTATCCCGGCCCTGACCCAAGCATCTGCCCCCTTGGCCTGGCCCGGGCTCCCCTCCCACACCCCCCAGCCCTCCGGTCCTCCCCACCATCCGGCCCAGCCTTGCCTGCCAGCCCTCATGCAGCAGCACAGCCTAGGCCCGGCCCTCGCCCCCCAACCTTCACC